CACCTTCTCAATACCCAAAAACATCTCTCAGATTCTTTTAGCAACCCGCTAGTGAACCAAGCAGTTAAAAGAGAGCTTTGAAACACAGTTACTCGTCATGGGCTCCTCTCGTACTCTGTGCAAGGAAAATGAGCAATGGCGAGATGACAATATCCAGATTACACCATCACATTGAAAGCCAGAAAGTCGCACAGTGACCAGAAAGCAGTATTGCACCAATGTTACAGCAATGGAGAAACCAAACACTGAAATCGAATGTCAATGAGAGCTCACTCCCGTCATCACTAGCATAAGAGTCCGGCGCTCGGCGCCCAGACTACTCACCACACCGCTACCATCTGCCTATGAATTGACAATGCAGATGTTGACGTCAGCAGCCACCGAAGTACATGAAGATGTCGCCCAATGCAGACCATCGCCAATACCAGGTATCAGCCCTCACATCATCATCATCATCCTCTCTCTCTCTCTCTCTCTCTCTCTCTCTCTCTCTCTCTCTCTCTCTCTCTCTCTCTCTCTCTCTCTCTCTCTCTCTCTCTCTCTCTCTCGTCTGTCCACCGTGTCTTCCCTCTGTACACCCGAAGACCACCCCTGCGCCTTGCTGTATTCCAAGCCCGGCCAGCTATGGAAGCTGGGCTATGGTGCTGCCCTCAGCAGCGCCCTTCTTCCCACACGACCGCACGTGCACAGCACATTGCCCCTAGCGGCAGCAGCACGCGAGCGAGCGTCCGCTCCAGCAGCACTGCCGCAAACTGGCAAGTGCCTGAATGAGATCCCTGGCCACGAGCTCTTTCCTATATGGAAGAGTTCTGGGCAGGCCTGCGGCTTGGCTGGGCTGGCCCTTTGCCCAGAAGCTTCCGGAAGGCCCCAGGTGGCTGGGCCTCTGCTCCGGCCGCTGGGCCTCGTTCAGTTACGCCTCCCAACTGTCTGTGTATGCTGCTCCGAATGTGGCCCAGGGCCTGCATTTCAGAAAAGGCCTGGAAGGCTGTGGAAGATCTTTGCTCCTCGGGTCCTGGGTTCCTTCAACCAACCGATGCGACACAACTGCCTGAAACCCCAAATACGAAATTGACAGCATTGGGCCTTTCGTGATTTGTTAGGCCTGCCTTCACTTAGGGCGGGCACACTTGCATTATGGGGCCCCTTAGGCCTTCCAAGGAGCCTTATCCTTGCATTCCCTCCTCCTTTACTTTGATAGTCCTCTGAGAAAGTTCCTTAATCTGCAGGCAACTTTCCCTTGAGTGCTCTTTCGTAGCCTGCAATCACTTGGGGCGCTGTTCCCTTGAGTGCTCTTTCGTAGCCTGCAATCACTTGGGGCGCTGTTCGCTGGAGTTCTTCTCTAGTAAACCACCGACCTTCACCGGGATCAATACGGTGTCTGAATCTGACATGATACTGCATCCTTGGCTTTGGAGGACGGCCTCTGCCGGGAGGTTTAGGCACTGGCATCACCCGATGCTCCACAATTCCGTCGATGTCGACTTCACCATCCATGGTTGGGGGCAGCATTGATCGTCTAGAGGGAAACTGTGCAGTTTCTGCGAAAGGTGCCAGCTTCGAGGCGTAGAAGGTGTGTGCGTAGGTGAGCAGGGACGCGAATGACGTAGGAAGGTCCATCTATCTGATCTCCGACTATGTCTAGGACCTCCCAAGGACCGAAATACTGCGCGGCATTAGCTTTCTAGAAATTCCCAACTCCTGTCCCAGTTCAGATGATTTAACCCATACCTGTTCTCCTATCTGAAACTGAGATGGTCATCTACGTTTGTTATCGGATGCAACCATGGCATCCTGAGGCTTTTTTTATGTGCTCTACAGCCTGTTGCAGCATCTGTTCATACTTGACAGCAGACTCTATGCTGCCAGGTGCTGCAGATGGTTGACTCTCCGGTAGTAGAAAATCTAAGGCGGTTCTAGGCTTCCAACCAAGATGCAGTTAGTTGGCAGTCATGCCAGTAGTGCTATGCACAGTGTTGTTGTACAGGCTGGCGACGAGTGGCAATTTCTCGTCCCAGTCATCCTGACTTGACTGGATGTAATGTCTTAGCAGGTGCTGCACTACTCAGTTCATCTATTCCGCCTGACGATTTGACTCTGGGTCATTTCTTGACGTCATCTGGAGTCTGGTACCCATCTGTTGGGCAGTATTGCCACAGTTCGCTTGTAAAGCGGACATCCCTATCGCTGACAATGGACTTGGGTAAACCAAAGTCCCGTACCCAGTTATCCATAAACAATCTGATGACGTAGTCAGTTTTAGCGGTTTTTGGCATAGCGATAAGCCTTGCGTACTTGGAAAACTGGTCCACTATAACGAAGATGTGTCTCTTCCCACTCTGGTGGTCACAAGAGTATCCATGAACTCCATGGACACACTTTGACCAGGACCTTCAGGAACGGCAAGGGCTTGATAAGCCCAAGCGGAGCCTTAGTCCTTGGTTTGTCCCGTTGGCAAACCTGGCAGGTTTCAACATACCTTTTTGCATCTTGCATCATAGAAGGCCACCAGAATCTCTGCACTAGGTTAGCCGATGTCTTTTTATAAACAAAGTGTCTAGTTGCATCATGACACTTACCTAAAAACAAACTACACAAAGACTCTCTATCGGGGACACACAATCTCTTATTCCCAGCCTTTTCAAGGAACAGCAAGCCATTGACCACCATAAATTCGTCAGAAGATACTTTATCTTCTTCTAACTTACGGATGATTTATGACATAACTGCATCTTCCCAATAGGCTTCCACCAAAGATCGAGTAACATCCTCAGATATTCCAAACTCAATTACTAGCGCGCCCAGATAATCCGCCCTACGTGATAGTGAATCCGCCACTTTGTTATACTCTCCCTTTATCAGGCCAAGCTGATAGTCATACATGTCCTATGTGTCTGAACAAGGTGGGGTGTCCAAACATGCCCCTCCCTCCCAAAAATCAAACTACAAGAGGGAAAAAAGTTGGGGCCACCCCATACCCCAAAACTATGAACACGTGTGTGCATGTGGATGCATGTCCTTTTTTTGTTTTTTTTAACAAATGTTCCAATCTATTCGTCCAGTCTCATTTCCGAAGGCCCCCTACAGATTAGCAAGGACCCCTCGTGGAGCAGAGATGGACATTAGACTTGTAGACTGCCTGTGTGGGCCAAGAATATATAGTCTGTCCACATTAGACTTGTAGACTGCCTGTGTGGGCCAAGAATATATAGTCTGGATTCGAATTCAGGTCTGTGGCACTCTGTGCATCACAGTTATGGGTCACTAACTCTCTGTCTTCTCGTTTTTCTTTTGTTTCTTGTTTTTCTTTTGTTTTCCCGTTTTTCTTTTGTTTTCTCATTTTTCTTTTGTTTTTTCTCGTTTTTCTTTTCTTAGGAATATGTGCAGTGGCCTTAAGAGCATCTACTCACCACATGCACAAAAGACAAAACATATGGCGGCGTATTATTCCACATTCTAGCAGAAGATTCATTCTAATTCTGCACATTTGCAGCGGCCCTAAGGGTCTTTACTCACCACATGCACAAATGACAAAACATATGACGGCATAGTATTCCACGTTCTAGCAGAAGATCCTTTTTTTTTTTTTTTTTTTTTTTTTGGTTGAAAGCCCCTTTGTAAGCCCTCCAATGCATCCCGGCGGTGGTAAGAGAACCGTCCGAATTGAGGGCTTATCTATTGGGCTGCTCCATCTATTGGTGGGGAGCGGCACCTAGCCTGGCTTATTTGTTTCAATTCCGGCATCTGCTGCGGTAGAAGAGGCTTTAAACCACCAGTACCTTTCCCCTCGGAAAGTCACCGTGGGGGAGTACTGGTGGTTCAAGGTTCATGAAATGCTTGGTGCGCAGGGCCCACGGCCTACATATGGGAAAGGTACTGGCGGTTTAAACCACCCCTGCCTCTGAGCCTCTTTTTGCTGAGGTGGAGAAGAACTGCACGCCAAGCGTTGCCAAAGCCCCAGGGCAACCCTTTTTTTTTCCCTTCTTTAAATAGAAAGCCCAGGTTGTTGTAGAGTTGGGATACTAGACACAGATGACAGTCACCCACAGTAATCGGCCACTGGGTTGTCCAGATGGGGCCCTCTGAAGACCCCACCCACCCCTCCTCTCCTCTTTCACCCTGCAAGCTTTTTTCTTTTGTTTTCACTGGCATTGCCACCCTTTTTTTGGCGGGGCCCAAGTTCCGTTACAAAAAATTATCTTTCGTTGCAGCTTTAGAGGTCCCGGTAATTTCACAGCAAAATTATTAGCAGCCAGGCTCCCACTTGCCTTGCAAAAAAAAAACCGCGTACAACATTTCTGCTGCTGCGAAAAACTCCGACAACAGGCTATTTCTGCCCTCGGCGGCAGAAGCCTTGGGCGTCACATGCGTTCATGTCTCACGGATGTCTGCAATTCACATTGAGTATCACATTTCACTGCGCTCTTCATCATGATTGCCAGCGAGGGCCAAGATATTGGATATTCGTTTGCCGATAGTTATCGCCAGCCATTTTCGGCGCATGGCATCGGAAGAATGTGGTATAGGTTTTATTTTTATGACTTAGCCCTTGCCTCTGAAAGGCAGTCACTGTCACAGTGGTGGTTTAAGAGAGAAACAATAACGTTAGTTGCATGCTTGAAAAAAAAAAAAGGCACAAAAAGAAGGTTGTTAAATCTGGTTCCATCTGGGACTCGTTATTGCGCTTCACTAGTTTTGGTCAATGATCCTTAAACTTAAAGGTTTTGCTGTGTGTGATTCCTTGTTGTATGCTGTGTTTTTCACCCCCCTTCCTTCAGTGCATTGCCCTTTTGTACTCTTTTTTTTTTTTTTTTTTCCCCCTGAAGGCGTCCTGGTGGTCTGATCCTTACATTGCTTTTTTTACTTTGTTTTGTTCTTTTCTTTTCTTCTTCTTCTTGTTCTTCTTTTTCGTTTTTTGGTTCTTTTCTTTCCTTTTTCGGGCAGGCTCCACTCAAAAGCCATGTGGGTGTCCAAAGATTTTACTCCCCGTTTGCGGAGTGGACGGGAAGACTTACGACAACGACTGCATAGCCCGCTGCAATGGCATCTACATCTTCATCCCTGGCACCTGCAGTGTTATTCGCTGCCGGAAGAAGTGTCCAAGGATTTTTAAGCCCGTCTGCGGATCTGACAATCAGACTTATAACAACGGCTGTCTAGCGAGGTGCGATGGCATCCCCAACTTCAGACCGGGCACTTGCGAGTCTGCGTGTATCTGTCTTTCCGTGTTCGATCCTGTTTGCGGTTCAGATGGAAAGACGTATGGCAATGCCTGTCAAGCCAAGTGCAACCTCATCTTCGACTACACCAAGGGTATCTGTCCCTCAAAGTGCGCTTGCCCCAGGATTTTCGACCCAGTTTGCGGTTCTGATGGGTTAACCTACAGCAATGCGTGCTTTGCAGAGTGCGTAGGCGTCGTCGACTACACACCTGGTGAGTGTGAAGAAAGCGGACAACTTCAACTTCAACCCGCACCGACAGTGTAGTGAGAGCACCAGGTCCTAGGGTCAGACTACAAATGTCTACAAGAATACCAGCCACCTAGTAAAGGCAGCAAGAATGCCATCCAACCATCAGGAGTGGGCCCGAGTAGAGCTGTATGGCGAGTTGCAATGCCAATGATGCTTCGACTTTAACATCTGGAGATTCCGAGTCGAAAACAGGCAGAGAAGCCAGCCCGAATGTACTTATGAAAGCATCCAGGCTCCAGGGCATCAGAGGAAGAGGTACACGATGATCAGAGGACAGAGGATTTGGGTAGGTGGTCCCTACAGTAGTCTGAATTGGAAACACGAGGTAAAATTACTCAAGGGGATAAGGGTCTGCTGATCGATCGGGGAGGGAGAGACGGTGACGGTTCTTCAAAGTCTACTCCTTTTTCAAATTCCTCAACTAGTTCGCAAAAGGGGGGGAAGGGAGGAACTAGTTCGTAACGGCAGATATCTGGCACCTGGCACAGGATGAAGAGATTCTCTCCCCCTTTTCTAAGGACCTGCTCAGTCAATCCTCTGGATCCCAGAGTAATCAATGCTGGCAGGGGTTTTCCAAATCAATTCTGTATATGGGACGCTGGACCCGCTTTCCAGCAAGACGATGCTCCCCATCAATGGACGGAGCCTCTCCCCCGGTGCTAGTGGTGCCTGCTCTTAAAAGTACCACTAGCACCAAAGGAGGCGTTTTTTGTGTAAAGCCCTTAGCTATCCTATCCTACAGTTTGCTATGTGCTATGCACTATCCACCGTGTACTCTGTAGTACTACGTACATAGTACAACGTACTGTACAGTACTACCTATAATGNGCAGACAGGCCGTGGGCCTCTATTCACCACATGCACAAAAGACAAAACATATAGCGGCGTATTATTCCACGTTCTAGCAGAAGATCCTTTTTTTTGGTTGAAAGCCCAGGGTGTTGTAAAGGCTAAGGACCAGACCCGCGGTGATTGCTGGTAGCATCAGCCAATGGTTGTCCTGAGAGGACAGGCCACCTACCCCACCCATCCCCACGTTAATACTCCCAGCACACCCTTGTCCCTCCTATCCTACCTCAGTGTGACCAGCACTCAGGACCATCACCCTACCAGTATTGAGGCAACTTGGACCAGACAGCAATGACAAGCACCAAGGTTGGGCCAACCTCCCAGCCCTAATGGAAGCGAAAGCAGATGAACCTTGCCTTACGGGAACTTCGGACGCCAGGCTCATGCAATCTTCTACAGGCCCAATTCAGAGAGTCTACCCAGCAGGATTACCTAAGCAAGGCAGGCCAGCGCCTGCGGACACATCCTACCATCCTTCCACTAGCTTACCCAAGGCTAGGTGGAACTCAGACTAGCCGGAGCGACTTATATCCCTACCCTACCCTAGAGCTAAGCCATGCATGCGTAGACCCCGTTATGCACATTTGGTGAGTACTGCAGCCAAACCCTGAGAAATCTGGCCCCACATCCCCCAACCCCCACCCCCCAGTCGTGTGTTTTTTTGTGTTTGTGTGTGTTTTGTGTGTGTGTGTGTGTGTGTTGTGTGTTTGTGTGTGTGTGGTGTGTGTGTGTGTTTATGTGTTTGTGTGTGTTGTGTGTCTGTCTAACTGTGTGTCTATGTTTGTATGTGTGTGCGTGTCTTTTTTTCCCTTTTTTATTTGTTTTTTATGGTTTTGATTTTTTTTTAAATACACCAACTTCAAAAAAAACAAAAAAAATATGTTGTTGTACATCTTTGAAAGATCTACAACCCTTTTTTTTTTTTTTTTTTTTTTTTTTTTTTTTTTTTAGCCCTTAAAAAATCTCTGTGAAACCCAAAAAAAAAACACTCATTTCATTTTTTTTTTTGTTTTTTTCATTATGTTTTTGATTTTTTTTAAATATAGTCAAACATCAAAAAATAAAAATAAAAATATAGCGTTGTAGTCCTCGAAAAGACCTACAACCCCTTTTTTTTTTTTAATTATGTTTAGCCCAGGAAAAAAATCATTGCGGACCCCGTTACCCGTCCAACGGCCGTTTCAACGGGGATTCAACGCGGATTCAACGCGCGTTGAATAATTCAAGGCAGAACCCACGTTGAATAATTCAAGGCGGAAACCAGGTTGAATCCAAAATCGGACACAGTACATGTCTATGACTTAGATCCACCTTTTGAGTGCATTTGAGAGTACAGGCTGAGTCTTGATCCCACGCAAAGTCTCATGATCAGATCTCCAATAGAAGAATTTGCTTAGGAGATAATGTCTCCAGTGGACCAACGCTCTATAGAGGGCATAGTGCTCACGCTCATACGTGGACTTCGCTAACTTTTGAGATGGCATCTTCTTGCTCATGTACTCGATGGGCCTCAACTGTTTCCCCTCCTTTACCGCAAGGACCGCGCCTATGCCATATTGGTTGGCGTTTGTCGTCACTACAAAGGGCTGCTCAGGATCCGAAATTTTGAGGACTTCATAGTGTGTCAGTGCGTACTTCAATTTCTTGAAGCTTGCTTCACACTCTTCGGTCCACTCCCAAGGGGTGTGCAAGGCGGCTTAGGTCGGTTATTGGGGAGGCTATAGTACTATAGTTTTTGACAAACGGACGATAGTAGTCCGTCATCCCCCAAAACGACTGGACCCCAGTAACAGTCGAAGGTCTGGGCCAGTCACGTATGCTGGCCACTTTGGCATCATCTGGCCTCAACCCATCCGCGGAAATCTCATGACCCAAGTACAAGATCTTGGTGTGACCGAACTCGCATTTCTCCAAGTTGACCTTGTACTGGTGCCGTCTGAGGAGACCTAGCACTGTTTTCACGTGCTCAACGTGCTCCTCTACACTCTTACTAAAGATAAGGATATCGTCAAGGTACACGACGATAAACTTGTCTAAATACTCATGAAAGATGAGATTCATTGCATGTTGGAATGTCCCAGGTGCATTGCATAGACCAAAGGGCATCACCAAAACTCGACCGTTTTTTTTTTTTTTTTTTAATAACGGGCCCAGTGCCCAAGGCTGATATTACCAATGAAAACTGCTTGAGGCCGGGACCAAAACTCGACCGTACCTGGTCTGGAATGCAATTTTGTGCTGGTCCTCGGGTCTAATGGCAATTTGTATTCGAACTTCAGATCTACTTTGTGAAGTACCGGCATCCCTGCACTCTATCCAATAGGTCGTCGATGCGGGGTAGGGGCTCCACGTTCTTAACGGTGATGACAATGAGGCCCCTATAGTCAATGCACATCCTTAGTGTACCTCCCTTCTTAGGAACGAATAAGACCGGTGCACCATAAGGGGAGGTACCAGGCCGAATCCATCCCTTTTCTGTGAGCTCTTTAAGCCGGCGGCGGATCTCATCTAACTCCGCAGGAGATATCCTATAGATCCGTCCTCTAGGTTCTTTGTTACCAGGGACGACTTCTATCGCATGGACAACCTCCCTTTCCACCACACCACTGGGTTCCTCAAAAAGGTCTTGAGTAACGACTTCTTCTATCTCTGGGGGTGATTTTACGGCCTCCCCTTTCTCGGAGACAAAGACTAGGTACATGCCCTCCTTCGATTTCTATACTCTTCTTAAAGGGAGTAGCGGGTCTCGCGTAACGTGTCCCGCTGAGAACTTTTTCCCGCGCGGGCCCTGTGCACCGTGGGCCCAGCGCGGTTTTTTGTTCGCGGCCATCTTTTTTTTTTTAGTTTTGTGTTGAGAGGTTCGAGTCCGGCTGTTTTTCGGATTCTTTTTTTGCCTTTTCGTGGCGGGCGACGATAGAAACGAGTCTGGCAGTGTACATTCCCATGTTCTAGCAGAAGATTCATTCGATTTCGAGGTTTTTTGTTTGCAGCCGTCTTTTTTTTTTTTGGTTTCGTGGTGAGAGGTTCGACTCTGGCAGTGTATATTTCCATGTTTTAGCGGTTCGGGGCCGTCTTTTTTTTTTTTTGTTTCGTGGTGAGAGGTTCGACTCCGGCAGTGTATATTTCCATGTTCTAGTGGTAGATTCATCCGATTTTGCTTATCCTATCGATGGTAGTACCATGAGGCCAGCCGCGAGGTTGGAGACTGTTTTCTCTCTCTCTCTCTCTCTCTCTCTCTCGCGCGCGCGCGCGCGCGCGCATTCATTTCGATTTTGCTCATCCTACACACACAGACTGACATTGCCACGACCACTCCCTCTCCTCCTCGTCCCGCTCCTCCTCTGTTGCTTGCTGCTATCTTCTCTTCCCTCTGTCCTCCTCCTCCTCATCCTCCACTTCCTCCGCTTTATCCGCTTCCTCACCTCGTCCTCCTCATCGTTTTCTTCCTCCCTCTCCCGCTCCTCTTGCCATTCCCGCTCCTCTCTTCGCCTCCGTCTCCTCCTCATCGTCCTGGCCACTCCCGCTGCTCCTCCTCCCGCTACTCCTTGCTCCGGCCTATTCCTGCCTCCATYCTCCTCTTCTCCGCTTTCCCCTCCTCTCTTATGCCTGATCRTCATCATCGTTATCTTGATCGTAAATTTCCACCCCCTCTCCTCTCATTGTCCTTTTCAACCTCCTCCTCCTCTGCCCCCTCCCCCTCCCCCCCGGCGCCCAGGTGGTTTTACAACGTCTCATCCATTGAATTCCATTTATGTTTCGTCGACTGATTGAACTTCGCTTTTGGGAGAGACGGTAGAGGTGAGAAAGTGGAGGAGGGGGGGGGGGGGGGGAGAGGAGGAGGAGGAGGAGGAGGAGTGTAAAGTCGACGTTCAGTTGCACTGTGGGATCCCGGCATGAACCCTGTTAGCCTGGCCTTTTTTTTTTTTTTTCCCCTTCTGTGAAACCCTCGCTTTTTTTAATTTCGCCCCTTCCGTGAAACCATGTTTGTTTTTCCGGATCTAGTGGTCCTCTCTCCAAATTTCCTCCAATTTTGATTTTAGAAATTCCCTCCCAATAGCCTCGCTACCATTTTTTTTTTTTTTCCTGCGGCCTTCATCTGCATCTTTGCTTGCTGCCCTCCTTGCCTGCCTCTCGCCGTGCCCCTCTTCTGCTGTGGCGTGTCCACTTGTTGTGTATAATGGTTATAGAAAGAGGATGCACACATGCAGTCATAGTTATCCACTAGACTGCTAGCTTTGACCTCCTGCAGTCTAACAGTCCTTCCATTAGGCAACTTGTGGATCATCACCTTTCTATCCCAGTCAAATTGAGGTTGAGAAGCCTGAAGGTAGCACATGCCTAGCAGCATATTGAATGGCAGTTCGTAGCTGACAAGGAAGGAGATTTTATGTCTCAGTTCCCCTCCTCCATAGGAGAAGGTGCAGACTATGTCCTTGACATAGTCTTGGACAACCATACTATGCTTGTTGGCTAGCGTTGATGCTACAAATCCGCTCAGCCGCTACACTTGGTCCCCTAAGTGCACTTTGTCCACACAAGTACGACTGATGAAGTTTCGTGTAGAGCCTACGTCTACGAAGGCGCCCACTTTGCGGCCACCCACATCAACCTCTACCACGAAATGTTCACCCCAAGGACCTTTGCTGATCATCGCCCAAGAGTCTCTAGGGTCCTTCCCTGACCACTCAGTTTGTAACTCTTCTAAGGACTCTGACACACCTCTCGAATAGAGCATCGGTGGGTCTGAATGTGTCTGCGGGGCGATAAATGGGTCACTAGCCTTGGCCAACGCCTAAAGTGGTGAAGGCAACTCCACCACTTCACCAGGAGTAAGAGCGGCTAACACTCCTACTGGCCCGAGGTGTTTAACTGCGAAGTGCTCGCAGAA